GAGTACCACAGGTAGTAGGCAGACGTGGGCGACAGCAGTGAGGTGATCCACCTCCGCCGCCGCCTGCGGGTGACCCTGCTGCTCGTCCATGGCTTCCAGACTGGTCAAGATTTGAAATGCAGATCAGTCTGCAGAACCTGCGCAGCCTTGACCCATGCGCGGTAACGCGCGAGATGCAAAAACTACATCTACGATGGTTCTACGCCAAGGATCCTAAGATGAGACTCGTCTTAACCGAGCTTGATCTGGATAGTGTTAGGCTAATGCTGATAAAATGTGTTTATGATGCGTGCCGGGAGTGCAGGGCTTGGGAAAAGCATTGGCAGACTATGATGTCACGTACCGCGCTACCTGGCAACTTGAAATGATGAAGTCGAATGCGACTTAATGTTCTACAAGCAGAAGCGCAATGTATTTCACATAATCAATCGTTGCATTCGATACGGTACTGGAGTCGAGATGCCAGACAAAACTATGACCAGCACCCTAGATGTGCCATCAGTGCCGGATGCAATTCAGACCTGCCAGAGTATCCCATTATACTCTGACGGAGAGGGTGCCCTCAATAACGACACCGCAAAGGCAGGCCAAAAGGCGCTGAGTTAAGAATACGCGCGCGTGGACAAGGCGCTACTACCATTGTAGCCAGAAGTGGCATATCTCGACACCTGCTGCACGTCGTGGAGGCTGAACTTAATTGGTTAGACACACCATTCTTGTTCTTCCGATAATTGCATGAGGTTTGTTTGCCCACAAGTCGTTTACCTTTGAAACGAGGTGCCACCATATAACACACTTGATTGGCCGACAACCAGCAATGCTTCCTGACTGGCCTGTGCTACAGCACGAACGACAGACGGAGACATCCCATCACGCTCGAGAACAGACTATTCGCGGGGTAAGCATTGAGGCTATTACACAAGCCACTGCAATAGCAAAGATACCGTGCACTGCGGACCAAGACGACCGTCACTGGTCAGCACTACTACAACGAAGGGGATCTTTTTTGAGTGTCATCGCCACGCAACCGCGACAGACGACTAGGGTGGCTGGGATGGACCTGTCCCGGTCTTGCGGAGAGATCCTGGCAGGGGTCAAGTCATCGTGCGAGTTGGGAATCGCGGTGTACAAGTCCAGCATGGCGATGCAGGGCGCTCGCTGTATATTACAGCTCTTATCACTCGAGAAGTTGGCTCGGACAACGCAGCCTCGCGGACTGTGGTGGCATTCGTGGCCAGTCTACCTGCGGGGCGTCCTGCTATGACCTTCGGTTATCTTCCGACCAGGAAGGGAGTGCTCCAAATGACGAGTGCGATCCGATTATCTCCAGCGGTACACTTAGCTCTCCAGTAATCAGAAACTTCTTCCGTATCGGCAACGTTTCTGTTAGGTTAGCTAAGAGCATTCATAAGTGACCTTCGGTAACGTATTGTGACAGCTGTGCGCTGGTTCACTGTGGCAACTGCGTGAACCCAGGTTTCCATTGCAATGGAGCTGCAAGCGCTGTCCTAAACGTGTAAGGTATATCTGGATCATCACCCTCGAGAATCATCCAGTCCCTGAAGCCCGCCAAACCCCGAGCAGGTTTCGATCAAGACATGGCGAAGGTCGATGAACTGGCAGACGTGCCAACGCACGGCAGTAATGCCAGGGGGGCCACAGATGCCCAACCACCGCAGTAAGACGGCCGGCCTCTTACAATCTACGAGGAATCGGAGGCGGACCTCGAGGCGCACGTTATGGAAGTGTGGTATGCGGAACTTCAAGACGAAAGGGAACTGCTGGAGACCATTTCAGTCGAAGAACTCTACACTGCACCCGCGCAGGTGATTTCTGAGAATAGCGCGCTGGTCACAGTAGCTGAAGAACAGCAAGGGCGCTTGCCTACGATGGGGTAACCTACAGGACATCAGCGCAACTGAGGCATAACATATGCCATTGTTCCACGGGCGAAGATGACAGTTACGGATTAGACGTTGACGAGCACGGACAATATGTATAACTCCGCTTTACGATAGAAATGTCGAAGATTGTCTTATCCGAGCAACAACATATGATATTGGATTTCGACCGTGATACCACGATGCGAGTACATGCGACCGCTGCAGCCAAACGCGCTGCAGTCGTCAAGGAGGGCGACCTTCTCGCGGAGTCAGACATTCAGGCGAATCCAGTCAAGGTATCGAAAGCCCTATTTACTCAAGACATGGATTGACAGGGAGTGCTTCAAAATACAAGACATATCCAAAGCGTCAGACATCATGACTCCGAGATGCACATGCACATGGGAAGTCGCCAAGAACCAAGAGGGCGAGATGGAATGCACCATCAGGTTGAGCTCGGTACTTTGGGCCTTCGTGGACCTCGAAGCCTTCGATGTAGAAGCGCTCTCAGGAAAGGCGCGGCGGTCGAGCCAGTGATGGCTCGCCGGCGCGGCGGCGTGCAGGAAGCAGTGGGTCATTGCTTCTCTCGACATCAACATGGCTCTCTTGAAGGGACTTGCGTATCAAGACCTCGCTGAAGCGTCTGGTGAAAAGGAGCGCGCGGCATGCTTTGCTGCGCTACCTGGTTCAGCATCCGTGCTCGGATCTCTCCGGGGTTTGAGCGCAATGATGAGTCAAGACACTGTCTGCAGCGCCGTAAACCAGGCACTAGCACCAAGATGCTCCAAACGCCTTTCCACTGAAGCTCAGGGAGACCACGGGAGGCTTTGGGCGCATGCCCAAGTCTTGCGTCGAGGACTTCGAGGCGAGCCTTGACCTTCTCACTGCCAAGCATGTCGATGATATAAGCATGGCCGGCACAGAGGGCACCATGGACACATGCGTCAAGTTTGTTGAGGATACTTTTTGGAAATGCAAGCTCAGCAGACACGCGCGGTGCTTGAGCCAATGAAAAAGGAGGGAAGGGAGCGGGAGCTAACGGGTCCTGCGAGACATGCTAAGGACAGCGACGGTACTGTCACTCTTGACCTCTATGAGTACATAGACATGATCCGTCCTATCCAGCGCCGCGAACTCACAGGCGCCGATGCTGAGGCTAAAGCAAGGAAGATGTTCACGGACATGTTTGTCAGCCTCAGATGCGCTCGGGCTTGCGCCCTTATCACACACGCGCGGTTAATGGTATATGTTGTATCACCACAGCGCGTCCACGAACCGACCGACTTGCAAGTGCGACGACCCGGCGCGATCATTGCGAAGCTGCAGGCTTGCCCTAAGAACACCGTTTATATATCGATGGCACCGTCGGGCGAGGTCGATCTCCGTAGCGATTCCAGCTGCCGTCGCCTCAACGGCGATGCCGACGGCGAGGCGAAAAGCTACGGTGCTCGCGGGGCAAACCGGCCAAGGCGTGGACACGCGCGCGCTGGTGAGCCTGTCGTCCATCTTCTCCACGCGCATGCGCGTCTCGCCGCTTGCAGGTCCGCTCTGGTTACTCAGCTGAAGCACTAGCAGCAGCCCATCACATGGAGGACTGCCATCCCACGGTTGTTACGCCGCAGGAACCCCGCGCAGGGCCGCCGAGACCCACTCAGCTGAATGATATACTTGAGATGGGCGGCCCCAGCATGAAGGTCACCCTGGCCATTGATGCAGAATCCGTCGTCAAGTCCTTGTCAAGCAAAGACCAGAAGAAGCCGACTGAATGTACCTTTCTGGGTCGCATCACCTGGATGCGGCACGTGATGGAGCGCGGGGTCGTGCATTGTGTGCAGACGTGTGACATTCGCGACATGACTGCAGATGGTCACACCAAAGGGAGCATTGACAGAGACTTGCTCCTACAAGTCATGAAATGAGTGCAATCCTTCAAGCATGACTTGAAACGACACACCCTAAGGGGCTGGCCAGGCGAAATATCTGAGCCGCCCGAGGCTTTGTAAGCTGCGGGGCAAACTGCTAAGGTTGAGCCCGCGGGCTACTGCCTTTCTCGTGTGATATTGCTGTTTTGCTGAATAAGGCCGGTCGCGGACTCACGCTTCGTCTTCTCCTTCCCGACTCTGAAACAGGAAGGTCAAAGGCGAGAGGTATCGAGCGTTTGTCCGCGGCCATTCTGGCCCAAGCGACAGGCCGCCAATCTGACCGGGTCGCGCCGCGGCCCGCTACCATACATCGAGACAGCAAATGTTCCACCCATTACTCTTGACATGCTCCCTCGCCGTTCACGCGGCTCTCTCCGACCTCTGGCATTATCGCTAATTCGATACAACAGAGTTGGACGTATACTTCGCTGGTTGGGTCTCCCAACTGGCTTTATACTGATGGTGATGACGACGGTGGTGGTGGTGGTGCTGATGATGATGATGTTGGTGGTAATGGTGATGACCAATGAAGGAGTATAGTATGATGCTGAATATGGCGAGGATGCTGCGGACAATGGCGATGCTGATTATGCTGAGCGTGATTACTGAAGTTGTTGAGTATGATGCATATGATTGTGAGGATGATGCTGGTGATGCTGCGGATGATGATGCTGTTGATGTTGATGAAAATGACGATGACTATGATGATGACGGCGATGACGACGACGAGCGCGACGACGATGACGAATATGATGATCATGGTGATGATTATGTTGCTGATGGTGATTCTGCGGATGATGGTGGTGATGATATGGTGGTGGTGGTGGTCAGGATGATTATGCTGATGATAATGCCGATGATGATGGTGACGGTGATGATGATGGTGGTGGCGGTGGTGGTCGTGATGGTGGTTGTTGGTGACGATGGTGGTGTTGGTGCTGCTGCTGGTGATGGTGATGATGGGATGATGATCGTGATGATGGTGGGCGAGGAGGAAGAGAAAGGGGATGCAAGGAGGAGGAAGACGAGGAGGAAGAGGAGGAGGAGGAACAGGAGGAGGAGGGGGAGGAGGAGGAGGAAACGATGAGGAAAAGGCGGTGAACCAGAGGCGGAGAGGAGGCGTCGGTCTGCCTTTGCGGCTCCTGCCCCGGTTGCTTTCCCTCCGGGAAGGACGACGGCGGTGCGCCCGGCCCAGGTTCCATGGGACGAATCCGTCGGCCGCCCAAGCCATATGCCAGGCGTGCGCCCGACGACGACGATGACGACGACGCCGCCGACGACGACGACGACGACGACGACGACGGGGGTGACGACGACGACGACAAACGACGAGCTTCCGCGGACGAAATCTGAGCGGGGGGCCTATCGCGGCCGGTTGCACCCGTTGCAGCCTCGGCTCGACACCGCGCTTCCTCGGACGGAGGCTGGACGGAGTCTCGCAGACGGGGGGGCGAGGGCAGCGGGGGCCTGCTGGTATCGGGGCCCTGGATTCAGGCAGCTCGATGGGCCGGATGGGGTAATAGGGTTCGGAAGGCGTCGAACACGTATGGAAATCCGAATTCCACCCCCCGCCTCCCATCGCTGCAGGAGAATCGATGGTTGGTGGGGGTAGGGTTCGGACATCGCCACCTGCGATCCCCCCCCCCTGGAACCAGTCCCCCTCCCCCCTCCCAGAGCCAGCCCCTCTCTAGAGCCAGTTCCTCTCTAGAGCCAATTCCCCTCTAACGCCCACCCTGGAGCCAGTGAGTAGGCTCGATGTTCCCCTCCCCTACCCTAGAGCCAGTCCCCCTCCAACGCCCCCCCTCGGAAGGGGTGCAGGGGGAGCGGGAGAACGACGAGGAGGGGTGCAGCGGAGGAGCAGAAGGATGGGAGCGGAGAGGAGGAGAAGGAGGATGAGGACGAGGACGAGGAACAAAAAAGAAAGGAGGGGGAAGAGGAGCAGGAGGCAAGGAGGAGGAAGAGGAGCAGGAGGAGGAGGAGGAAGAGGAGGAGGAGGAGGAGGAGGAGGAGGAGGAGGAGGAGGAGGAGGAGGAGGAGGAGGATTTTGCCGCTGCGCTGCTCTGCCACGAAGCCTCGCAGCCCTCTTGGCCTCTGGGGCCGAGCAGCCGTCGGACTCGGCACTGATCAAAAAAGCCGGCTGCAATTTATGCGCCTTTGGGGTGTGGACGAACCTGCAGGACGGCTTCATGTACGAGTCCATCTGAGGCACTGCGGTGCCATCCACCCACGCCCCGCGCAGGGCCGGGCGCTGCCCGACATTGGGTGTTCGTTCGTTCGTTCGTTGGGGTGTGGAATCTGGGACGGTCGCGCATCTTATGTCAGGCTGCGAGCCTCGAGCTCTGCCAGGGCAGCAGAACACTATGCAGACGTCCGAGAATGTCGCCCCGTGGCGATAGGGGAGGCGCTGCCACAGCAGCTCCCGGCCTCGCGGTAAACCGCTTGCCGACGCAGGCGTGGAGCCAACATGGATCAGACGTCTGCCTTCAGCTCTTTCTCGCCCGGACTGCCACGGCCCCCGTGTGTGCAGCAGAGATGCAGACCCCTGCGGGACGTACAAGCTGAAATGCATACACCGGCGCGCCGACGATCAAGGCACACGCCTCCCGCAGCACGAGGGGAAAGGGCGACGCAGGGCAGCGCCATGGTTGGCGAGAGCGAGAGCGAGAGAGTTGAGGAGCAGCTCCAGCGACGGAGAATGGCGGCGACGGAATGCAAATCTTTGCTGCTCGAGTAAGAACCTGACGACCATGTCTTCGTGAACATTTACGCACAGCAAGCAGAAACTTGCTATGCTGCTGCCTGTGGCATGATACGCCACTGTGCCAGCGCAGCAGTCTGGTGTGGCGACGCCAGGAGGGCTGTACCATGTGACGCCTCTCAAATTAATTTCTTGAAGGGCTATCATGGGGCCTCTCTGGGCCGTCTTGCAACTGTCTTGGGCTCCTGTTGGGTCGTCTTGGGGCCCTTTTGGGTCGTCTTGAGGCCCTCTTGGGCATCCTTGGTGTCGTCTTGGGCCGTCTGGGGCCCCTTTCGGTCATCCAGGGGACCTCGTGGGACTGTCTTGGGGCCCTCGGGCCATCTTGGGGTGATCTTGAGCTGTCCCATGCCCCTCTTGGGCTGTCTTGGGGCCTTGGCTGTCCTCTCGGGGCTGTCTTGGGATCCTCGGCCTTCCCCTCCTCCTCCTCCTCCTTCCTCGTCTTCCTCCTCCTCCTCTTTCCTCCTCGTACTTTTCCGCCTCCCCTCCCAACAGTCATGACGGGCCCTCGTGGCCTCCGCAGCTCGCTGGGCCCCTGCTCGATTCCTCTTCTCGTGGAGTCCGACCTCCCCGCTGCTGCTGCTTCGTGTGCATCCTCCCGTGTTGCTGCACGCCTCTGGAGGACCTTCACGAGCCGAGCTGGCCGCCCCGCTTGGAAGTGTGGCTCTCCGCTTCGCCTCGGCCACGCTCCCAGCTCGAGGGGGAAACCAGCAGGACGTGCTCCCGCTTCGGCGCGAGCCGTGCTCCTGGCCCGAATCGGCGTTCTGGCCTTTGCATGGGCTGCCGTGCCCGTGCCCGCCTGGCTGCTGGCCGTATTCTAGCCCAGACAGAATTCACGCTTCAGGGCCAGCCGCATCACCGGCCCGGACTGGACTCCCCTTCCTCCCGCGGCCGACTCCTCCGCCTTTCCCCGTCCCTGGCTGTGCCCAGCTCGCCGCTCGGGTGCCCTGCGCGCCGTTTGACCGTCCTGCGCGCTCGCCCGGTCCGCGGCAGCTCGTCCTGCCGTCGTCGTCCTCCGCCTTCTCCGAATTTCCATTCCGCGCCTTTAGCGCCTTCTCTTCCTCCTCCTCGACCTCTTCAGCTTCCTGTCTTCCCTCCTTCAGCCTCCACCTACATGCGCGCATACACGTTCTGCTCCTGCTCCTTCTGATCCTTCCACTTCTCTTTCCCGCTCTGCTGCTCTCCCCCTCATCCTCCTCGACCTCCTCGTCATCCTCGTCGCGCTCTCGCTGCTGCTGCCACTCCTGAGAAGCTGCTCTTCTGCTGCTGGAGTGCTGCTGCTGATGCTGCTGCTCATGCTGCTCCCGCCGCTGCGGCTCCTTGGTGCTCCTGCCGGCGCCGTTTCGGGAGCCCCCCGCCTCCCGTCCTCGGACCACGAGCGCGTCCCGCCCCGCCAAAGTCTGGCTTCAACGTGGACCTCTCCGGGAGCAACAAGGCCCTCCCCCTCGGCCTCGCCGCCTGCCCACGGGGCGGGGGGGTGGGGGGAGTCTGAGAGGCAGGCGTGCGAGGGAGGGCAGACGGGGAGAGGGGAGATGGGGCACGCTGAGCGCGCCCGCGCCATGTTTGTCGTTGTGCACCTCCCGTCCATCCCCTCCCACTGCGCCAAGTTCCGACGTATCCGCCGACGGGGTTGTCCCAGAGGAGCTCGATCCTCAAAGTGACGCCACAGAGTGATGCGAACACAGAAAGCGGCTTTGTACAATGGGCGAGGAGGTGAAACACGAGCAGGAGAGATCAGGAGGATGAGCAGGAGGTGGCGGATGGTTGCGATCATGAGGAGGACTTAACAACGTAAGGATGATGCTGAAGCTGATGAGGATGATGATGATGACAACGACGACGATGATGTTAGTGATGATAATGCTGATGATGATGACGATGCTAATGATGATGCTGATGATGATGCTGACGACGCCGACAATGATGATGGTGACGATGATGATGATGATGATGCTGATGATGCCGATGACGCTGATTTTAATGATGATGCTGCTGACGATGATGCTACAGCTGATGATGATGCTCATGATGATGACGACGACGATGCTGATGATAATGATGATGATGATGATGATGATGATGATGGTGGTGATGATGCTGATGATGATGACGCTGACGATGTCAATGACGATGATGATGATGGTGGTGATGATGCTGATGATGATGCTAATATTGATGATGATGAGGATGACGACGGTTTTGATGCTGTGACGATGATGATGAGGATGAGGATGAAGAGGATGAGGAGGAGGACGACGACGGCGATCCTGATTAATATGATGATTATGATGCTGCTGCCGACGACGATGCTGATGCTGCTGATGATGATGATGGTGATGATGTTGATGCTGCTGTTGATGATGATGACGACGATGTTGACTATGGTTATGATGCTACTGATGCTGACGCTGCTGCTGCTGCTGACACCGACCAGCACGACGACGACGATGACGATGATGGTGATGATAATGATGACGATGATGATGCTGATGCTGATGCTGATGCTGAGGATGATGATGCTGCAGCTGATGATGATGGTGATGATGCTGACGTGACGATGCTGACGACGAGGACGATGATGCTGATGATGCTGATGATGCTGATTACGACGACGATGATGATGCTACTGACGACGACGACGACGATGATGACGATGCTGATGATGATGATGCTGACGGTGCTGACGATATGATGACGGTGACGATGATGATGAGGATGAAGTAGATAAACATGATGATGATGGTGTTCCTTGGGGTGCTGATGATGCTGGCGATGATGACGAAATCGAGGATGATGATGATGATGATGATGATGATGATGGTGATGCTGTTGTTGTTGCTGGTGATGATGGCGATGACGATGACGATGATGATGATGCTGCTGATGATGATGACGACGATCATGATGCTGGTGCTGCTGCTGCTGACGACGACGCTGATGATGCTGATGATGATGATGGCGATGATGCTGCTGATGATGATGGTGATGATGATGACGATGATGTTGATGATGATGGCGACGATGCTGCTGATGATGATGGTGATGATGACGATGCTGTTGATGATGATGACGCTGATGTTGATGATACTGATGATGATGGTGATGATGCTGATGATGATGCTGATGACGACGGAGACGATGATGATGTCGATGATGATGATGATGATGATGATGAGGATGATGAGGATGATTATGATGATAGCGATGAGGATTATGATGCTGATACTGACGACGACGATGATGATGATCATGATACTGATGACGCTGATGCTGATGCTGATGCTGCTTCTGATGATGATGATGATGCTGATGCTGATTGTGTTGATGCTGATTGTGATGATGATGCTGATGATGATGATGGTGATGGTGGTGGTGATGATGATGATGATGGTGATGATGATGATGATGATGATGATGATGATGATGATGATGATGATGATGATGACGGTGCTGATGCTGATGTTGATGAGGAGGACGATGAGGAGGACGAGGAGGACGATGATGAGGATGAGGAGGAGGCGGAGGAAGAGGAGGAGGAGCAGGAGGAAGAGGAGGAGTAGGGGCAGGAGGAGGAGGAGGAGAAGGAGGAGGATCAGAAGCAGCAGCAAGAGCCCCATGGGCCCCTTGGGGGCCTCTGAGGGGCTTCTTTGGTCGACTCAGTGCCCTCTTGGGGGCCTCTTGGATTGTATGGGAGCTATCTTCGAGGTATCTTGGGCTATCTTGGGCGGTGGCAAGCCCATATCGGCGAAAACCTTAACATCCTTCCAAAACCGTAGGGAAGTCATTTTTTTTCCTCGGCATTTTTGGGAGGGCCTCTTTGAGCCCTTTTGGGCCGTCTTGGGAGCTTCTTGAACCGTCGTGGCGCCGTCTTGGGACCGTCTTGAGCCGTCACGGGCAATCTTAGGCCGTCTTGGTGTCATCTTGCTTGTCTCGGAAATCGTCCTGGAAGCCATCTTGGCCGTCTGGATGCAGAGCGAGTTCAGGAGGGAGGGGGAGGAGGGGTGATTTTCGATGGGCGCGTGCTATGAGGGGGTTGGGGGGGGTCTTCGAAAACACACCAAAAACGGCACTATGCAGCACAATAGCATGACGGAAAGAGCGCTAGCGAGAGTTCTGCATAGGGCTTAAGCCCCAGTGGGGGGGGGGTCTGGACCGGGCCTTTTTGTCTAACACGCCCTCCCGGGGCCATGTTGGCTGCTTTTTCGGCCCAGGACGGTCCAAGAGACCCCAACCAGGCCTGCAAGACGGCTTAAGGTACCTTCAAGACGGCCCAAGAGACGCCCAAGCGGCTCCAAGACAGCCCAAGAGCGCTCCAACAGGGGCGAAGATGGCCCCAAGACGGTCCAAGGAGCGCCCCAGACGGCCCAAGAGGCCTTCACGAGCACTTCCAAGAGGGACTCCGGAGGCAAAGACCATTGATTTCCCTAAGTCTTTTTGAAATTTTAGGGGTTCCCGCCTTTTTGTGTTGAAAACGGCCACGCACGGCCCCGGGGGCCTCCGAGGTCGCCCCCAAACCTTCCCCAGAGGCTCCCAAACGGCCCTAGAGCGCTTCAAGACGGCCCAGGAGAGCCCCAAGACGAGCCAAGGAGGGCCCCACAGAGGGCCAAGAGCCTCCCAGGAGAGCCCCGAGAGAGCCACAGGAGGCTCACAAGAGGGCCCTGAGAGCGCCCCAAGCTGGCCCCAAGCTGGCCCACAAGACGGTCCAAGAGGGCCCCAGAAGGCACCCAACCGGCCCGAAAGACCCCCAATAGCCCTCCAAGAGGCACTCCGAGATGCCTCCAAGAGCCTCTTACGAGGCCCCACCAGAGCGAACCGTGCCGTCAAACGCTCTGACTGCCAAGGCTCCTCGGAGCGGACGGTGACATAACAACTCCGATCACCACGGCGGCCGTCTTACCGTGACTCGCCCCTCAGCGTGCTCCAACAAGCATGCATGGCAATCCCTATGTTCAAATCGCTGCCGCGGAAATGGCCGCCGAACCCCCGAGACAGTGTGAAACATCCGCTTCACGGACTCCGTCCCCGTGCCGGCCCAGGTTCTAACACGCCCGCTCCGTGCAGGCACGGTGGTGGATGCAGGAAAGGGGACGGAGAGGAGTAATGACCCAGGTGGTCAGGTCGAGCGGGCCCCGCCCATTCCCACCGCCCCGCCCACGACACGAACCCAGGGTGGCGCAACATGCTCTTGGGACTTGCGAGTGTTCCCACCCAGCCCCCCCTTCCTTCCCCCCTTCGTTGATTCAAGCTTCGCGCGGCCCGCTTAGCTTCGACCAGAAGAGGTGCGCTTTCGACCCGCGAATCGAAAGTGTTCCCACCCAGCGGAGAGAAGGCGCTCTCGCGTGGTCCCGCTTTCAGCTGCTGGGCGAGGGGGAAATCGCGGACTCCACGCAAACGGGAGCGGAGTCTCAAGAAAGTCTTTGCGCGGTGCTGCGACGAAAGCACCATTTCCCGTTTTTTGCGGGCGGCCTCATGTCCGATGAGCCTGGCGATGACGAATCGTGCGCTGCGCTGGCCACTTTTGCGCACAAGCTGCGCGGCGCTTGGGCGACCCCGCCGACGGTGCGGGCTTCGTGCGATCCGGCGAGCGAAATGTGCGCCGCGCCCACTCGTGATCGCTGCTTCCAGGTGAAATCTGCACGGGGGTTGGGCGAGCGTGACGAGGCGCCCGCTCACGCGCGGCCCTGCCTGTTCTGACTGGGCGAATGGCAGAGGTGCGTCGCCTGTTTGGTAAGATTGCACGTCCTGGATGTAGCGGCCATCTGCCAGCGAGATGACCTAGTAGGAGTATTTAGGGAGACGTGGCATGAGCATGAGCGGAAGCAGGAGCATGAGCATGAGGAGCAGCAGGGGCAGCGGCAGGATCACAAATGAAGGGTGTTCACAGTTGTTCGGTCGGTTCGGTTACGTCGCAGTCGGTTGTGCGGTCGGGTTGGTTCGGTCGTTTATTGTGTCGTTGCGTCGTTGCGCCCTTCTAGGCTGGTTGCGGCCTGTCCATTTCGGGTTGGTTCGGTCGTTTATTGTGCCGTTGCGTCGCTGCGCCCTTCTAGGCTGGTTGCGGCCTGTCCGTTTCGGTCGATTTCGGTTTTGCTGTCCGTGCGGTCGGTTTTCGTTTTTGCTGTCGCCGTGCGCGGAGTTCTGGGAGCACATATACTCTTTGGTCCCTCCTCTTCTTTCCCCCTCCCCTCCATACGCAGAGGAACGTTCTGCCGCACAGCACACCAGTCCGACACCGGGTGGTCCCAGCGGGCAGTCACTTGGAGTGTTCTGCCGAACTCGGCCCGAGCCCCGCACACCGCCAACACGAAGGCTGAACGGGTCGACGGAATCGTTGAGCTTCTGGAGCATGGGCAGGTCTTACATCGCAGCAGTACTCGGGGAACGAAGAATGAGATAAACGCATAAACCGGGAGGTCCGCGCGGATTTCTCGGGTCGGA